AGTCTTTCAGTCAAACTGATCTGAAGCTGTTGAATGAATATGGCATTCCACTTTCTGTCTACATGCTTTCATATAAGTGATACCCCCATGTCTGGAAATTATTCCTTCCTCACTTTTACCTCTTGCAATATTTGGATTCCTTTAAGATACAACTCAGCTAAGAATTGGTCCAAATATTCTGGAAACAATTTCAAACAAAAATGTCTATATAATTTGACCCAGACTGGATCATCTGATAGGCATATATCCCATGGAAGTCGAAGACAAAAATTAAGAACCTACATATCTCAGAATATTTATAGCAGCAAATTTGTTGGAGCAAGAAACTGGAAACAAAGCATGGAATTGCTAAACAAACTGTAGTATGTGTATGAAACAGAAAGTTATTCCACTATAAGAAATGGTGACTATGAAAAAAAAAATCTTATAGAAACCTGGTAAGATTTATATGAAATGATACAGTGTGGAGTAAGGAGAACCTGAAAAATGAAATATCCAAATGGTTACAACAACGTAAATGGAAAGAACAAAGAAAGGAAAGCTAGCATTGAATAATTATGATGACCAAGCTTAGCCCCAAAGAAGAGTTGATAAAATATACTTCTCTCCTTTCAAATATTGTTAGATTTGACTGATGTGTTAGCTTTCTGCTTTTTTTCTTTACTTTTTTCTTCTTTGTTTCAAGGGATGGCTTTCTGGATAAGAGGTAAGGAATATTCAGAAGAGAAGGTGATATAAAATACAAAAGATTTTTTAAAATTTCAACAATATAAACAGAAACAATAAAACAATTGAACACTAAGTAATCATAATAACCCATTTAACTTTAGAGAAGAAATGAGAAAATGTAGCTCCCTCTTTTCCTTGAAGAGGTGGCAGGCTACAGGGTTGAAATGTTATATATGTTATCAAATGCAGCAGATGTGTCAGTTGGCTCTGCTGAACTATTTTTGGTGGGGTTTTTTTTAAACTTTTGGAACAAAGGAAGGCTTACTTGGTAAGTGAGGTAGGGAGACACATATGGAAAAGAGTGTGAGGTAAAAACAAAAAGCATCCCAAAAAAAAGATTTTAAAAAAGTAAAAAGAAAATTTGGTACTCTTACACTATATATAATTTAGGAAAATTAATTTAATTGTAAATGTAAAATGGTTTTTTGAGACTGTGTATTCACCCAGGCTGGAATACAATGTTCATTCACAGGTATGATCTTTCTACTGATTGGCCTGAAAGCTTTGACCTGCTCCATTTTTCCAACCTGGGCTGGTTCACCTATCCTTAGGCAACTTGTGGCCCCCTATACCTGAGGAGTCATCATATTGGTGTCAACATTTGCTAGGTTTGAGTCTTACTAAAGCTCAGAACTCCTGAACTCAAGCAATCAACTAATTTCATCCTCTGTAGTACAAATTATAGGCATGTTCTACAAGACCAGACCTGAATTATTGCTAAAGAAAAAAAATAGCTAGAATTTATATAGAGCTTTAAAGTTTGCAATGTACTTTACATATATCATTTGATTCTCACAACAACCTAGTGCAGCAAGTATTATTATTATTCTTATTTTACAGATAAGGAAACTGAGGCTAAAAAGTTAAGTAACTTGTGCAGAGTCACATTGTTAGTAAGTGTGAGGCAGGATTTGAATTCAAAGCTTTCTGACTCTAAGGACAGTATTTTCTCTCTTCACCATTCAGCTGTCCAAAGTAAACAAAGCTCAAGAGCCACCTTTTACAGAAGGCTTTTTCTGATCCTTCCCCACTCAAGTTGTTAACTCTCCCTTCCTTTTGAAGTTACTTTGTTTTTTGTATACACTTGGTATTTATTTATTGGTGTACAAGTTGTATTCCTTCCTGACTCCCCAAGTAGAATCTAAGATCATTAAAGGCAGATACCATTTAGCTTTCACAAATAGTGGGCATTTAATAAATATTTGCTGAAATGAATTCCACATCCTCTCTCCATTCCATCTCATCCAAATCCCCAGTCATTAAAAAAGGCCAAAGTCTATGTTTCAAATATAATTACTTAAAGAAAAGGCCAGAGAGGTTATCTTTTCCAACTCCCTTAGTGACCTGTATGTCAAGTGGTGAATAAAGCTGAACTAAATACTATCACAGAGTATCCAAATTACTTTGTAAGAAGGGAATTATAATGTTAATCAGTATGATATATGTTATGAATATATTAATAATTTAGTTTTCTCAAGAGCTGGCTTGGAATCAGAGCTCACATTGGAGCTTGAACTCATTAATCAAAACTCTGACAATGCTCGCAATCACTGAACCTTAAGTGAAGTGAATCAAAGATTGTAGAACCTGTTCCCATCACAGAACTCTGGTTCTGTACTGTAAGGGAGGCACTCCTATCTCTACGTCTGCTTTGCTCAGGCTCTGAGCATTCTCAGGTTAGAGACTGGATCAGAAAAAGTCCTGTTAACACTTTGTGTCCCTACCTTAGGATCACAACAAAGAGCTAACAGTATCTGGCAGGAGTGAAGAAACTCCAATCTAGCAAAGACTTGTTAGGAACAAAACAGCCATTCCATCCTCTTGGGAAAGAGAAAGTAACTATGCAAGTAGACCACCTTTGCCTTAAAGCTCCCAAAGTACTAGGTAAGAAGTCCACACACACCACTTTAGGGAACAAGTCGAAAAGAAGCTAGGAGCTCCTCTTCTTCCCAAGCCCAGAGGACCATAACAAACATTGATACCTAGGATCCAGATTCTTTCACAGCAGATTGCAGGAGATGGGACTCTAAAATGGAAATCAGGACAAGGGTTTAGTTTTAAGTTTTCCCTGAATGTTCCAATTTGTCTGGGGCTTTTTAATGCCATCCATCTACTTTGGGGGAAGAAGTATCCAAGAACAGTTCCAGTCCCTTCTAGGATCAGAGCAACAAGACTCAGATGACTCCAGTTCTTGATGTGCTCACAGCAATTTATGGGGTGCCAAAGTCTGATCTAGGAGCCAGGGCAGGATGAATTCAGATCTCTGTTCCCAATGTACTATGAGATTTGGAATAACCCACTGTCTCTGTGCTCTAATCACCTCATCATTTAGTGAAGAAAATATATCCCCTCCCTGCCTCAGTTTATGGTGGAATCTTCTTTCTGCAGTAAAACTATTTAGATGAAATTGATAATATGGCCTAGTGGAAAGAATACAGAACAGATTTGGGCCCTTAACTGGCTCCATTACTGAACACTGTACCTTTGTGACCTCAGACGAGTCACTTAATTTCTGAAAGCATCAAGATCCTGTTACACTCGTTTGCCCTACCTTACGACATAAGGCTCTTATAAAGATCACAAGATCCAAGAGGGAAAAACATGGGGAATATTAAGTACTATATACACATATAGGTAGTTTAATGACTCACAAGCCTTAGTTTCAAACCAATTACTTAAAAGATTGAGTTGGTATAAACTTGGGAAGAGGAAAAAGCCCTTGGAGGATTTATGAAAGAGTAGGAAAATTGGGCTTCATCCTCCTATCTGCACCCTGTTGGAACATTTCATAGAAAATACTTTGGTAATGGGGAGAAAGGAGAAATGGGCTGTAAGATGTTTTGTGTGAGCTCAGGTTCAGGTTCCCAAAGAGTTTTACTGTACTGAATTTGGAGTTAGTGGACCTAGGTTCAAATCTTAGTGCTGGACAATTACTCCTCTGGACCACAGCTTGCTCATCTGTAAAACACACCAGATGGACTCAATGATCAGTAAGTCTCTTCTAGAATCAAATCTACTGTTCCTACCAGTGAGTGATACCTTTCTACACATTCTACCTCCTACTTTCACTCCTGTTGAGATCAGCTCTTCCTTTTCACTTTTATCCTCAAGCATTTGGGTCAAATCTTCCTTCCAGAGTCAGTACCTCTTCATTACTTCTGCGTATTGTAACCCCCCTACATTCCTAATGGCCTCAGGTTGAACATCACAAGCATCAGTCACATCTGAACTAGCTTTTCCTTAAATCTCCAGCAGCTCCAGAGCTCCCAGAGGTAGTAAAGCTTGAACACCCCCTGAAACTAGAGACACTTAAATTCAGTTAAGTGTACCTCCCCTTAGATTGGACTTTTGCTCCAAGAAGAAACTCTTCTCCATTCACCACTTCCAAAGTAGCCAAGAAATATATCAGAATGAGTCAGCAGATCTGAATTCTAAAATCGAGCTGTGAGACCATGAGCAAATCATTTAACATTTCTGAGCCTGTTTCCTTAACCTGTAAAGTGGAGATAAATTTATATTAGCTTACATTATTATATATATTATGGTTATCATTTTTCCAGGGAAACTTAGACCTCAGAGACAAAAAGGTAGTTTTCTTCCATCTGGTACTTTCACTCTGGGGTTATTCAGAGAGTCAACCTTGGGAAGATTCAGGTCCAAACTTACTTGAAAGGGTCAAAAGGAGGGGTTTAAGCAGTCACAATTTAATACAATTCAACCTCAATATCGCACAGGAACTATAGAAAGACTCAGAATACGCACAAGATGAGCATCAGGCAGCAGAGTAGAGCTGTGGTCAAAAGAGATTAGAGGCCCAGCAGTTGGTTTATTTAAGTATGCAAACAAAATACACAAGGACACAGACACAGCTACAGACACACTCACACACACACACAGCCTCAGACAAATATATATATATATATATGTATACATACATACATATGGAAATACGAATGCATAGTTAATAGGAAAACGGAACAAAGGCAATAATTGATAGACTATTATAGGCTGGGGGGAGGTGTCTTTTCCACTTTTCTTTCTCTCTAAGGTGCAACCAAAGGGCCTCGGGTTTCGGTTACAAAAGGAGGGATTTAGTTGAGACAAGACTGTACCAAAAAAGAAAGTGTCTGGTGCCCCAGAATTCGTCCTTCTTCCTTCTACGATTCTCCACCCCTGCCAAAATCGCAGTAGGGCACTGCAGGGGAGTGGCCTGGAGCCAAGGGCCGGTATCATTCTCAAGGATACCGTTATTCCCAGGGCTGCGGACTCACCCTCGTCCAGTGCACAGCCGAATAATTCTTCTGGCTTCTCTGGAAAGCGTGGTGCCATCCCCTCCAGTCCAGTGCCGCGCCCCGTACTCAGTCCAAGCCCCTAATGTGGGGGCCGGACCAGGAGCACGCAGCCTCCAGCAGCAGGAGGAGGGATTAAATGAGGATCCCATTTTCCACACCCCTCCTACCCCCCCCCCCCAGTCTCCTAAAAGATAGGCAAGGTGGAGGAATCAAGAGCGTCCATGTCACCTTTCGAGATCACACCCTCTCGCACCCGAATACTACTTCTGACCTGGCAAGAGGGGTCCACAGGTAACCCGAGGCCGTCAAGCACAGATTGTGAAGCCGGATTATTTAAAACTACGATTCCCAAAATCCCCCTGGCTGCGACTCTTCCTCCTGGCTTTGTTGTTCAACAAGAGGAAAGGCAAGACCTATGCTGAAAGCTTTGGGGGAAATGAACTAAATCCCAGAGCAGAAGTGGGAGGGTTTTTTAGGCATCCGGGAACCGCGTGCCCTCCGGGCGCTTTCGTTCCATCACATCCCTGGATAAAAAGTGTTCAAGGGGTACAGACCGGGCCGGTTCCACAGAAGCCTCAGAGTGAAGTTACTAGCTAGAAAAACAAAAACAAAAAACTATAAATTCTCCCTCAGACCGTAGCCCCACCAGAACTAGGTGATGCTAACAACTTGTGTTTAAATAACTTAATAGACATTTTAGCTGCACTTTACACTTAAGGGAAACAGAGAATGTTAAATGACACACCAGTGGGTGTCGCTGACCGGTCTGTCCTAGGTTCTTTCTACTTCCTCCTCCCTTCTGGAAAAAGGCGGCTTTGAATCCTTCCCAGGGTTCTCCATCTCTTCTCTGAAGAGTTAAGTGTGATTTTTTTGGGGAGAGGGGGAGGATCTCTACTGCTCCAATTCAGCTTATACAGTCCCAGTTCCTTCCTCTTAACATGGCCTCTAACAAACTTTTGCATCTTTTTCAAAACTCTCAGGTGAGACTCCAGTTCATCTTTTGGCACAAAGATTAGGACGAGCCAAACCACTCTTAGGGGTAAGAAGAAATGATTGTCCGTTTTAACTGCAAATCGCAGAATGTCAGGTGGTTTATATAAATGATTTGGTCTTTTGAATCCAGCTTAAACGACCGAGAGCAGAAATTATCTCTAAGAGGGAGAATATTTTAACGTAGCTTTATTTATCATATATATGTATGTTTTATATATATGTGTGTATACATACATCCATATGTATTTGTTTACATGTTCTCTCCCCTATTAGACTGTAATCTCCTTGAGGGCAGGGATTGTTTTTTTCCCTTTTTTGTAACCCCAGCAGGTAGCATTTCGTCTGACTCGTAGTAGGGTCTTAATGTTTATTGACTGATCGATCTACAAACTCCAGAAATTCTGAGGCTGGATACTAGCAGAAAGAAGCAAGCCAAAGAACCGCTGGTGCTGGAACAATTGGTGATCGTTCTGCCTGGAGCTGTTAGGAATGAGACAGGAATATGACATCCAAAAAAACAAGGTGATGAAGGAGTAAAGACGGGACTGAAAATAGTTTCTTTAACATTTATTAAATGCTTACTTTGCACACAAGATAGTTGTGTCTTCAAACACAATCATAACTCTCACTGGGACTCAGTTTCTTGATCTGAGTCTAAAATAGGCACTATAGATACTGTCCTGGGGAGAAAAGGGAGAAAATTGATGATCCCTAAAAGCCTAAGTAGGAAGAACTGAACTGAATGAGTGCTGATTTTTTTTAGCTGCAAATTTAAAATATATGGAGAAATTAACTTACCTGATGAGATTTTTGCCCCTTAAATGCTTCCCATATCCCTTCACCATAAATCCCTCTACCAATGTGAGTTGTTAGGCTCTGATGAATGATTTGGCCAATAGGATCACCTTTCTAGATTATTCACATAGAACACCAGGCTTGGAATCAGGAAGACTTGCATTCAACTCTGGTCTCAGACACTTAATAGCTGTGTTGTCCTGGGCAAGTCACTTAACCCTGTTTGCCTCAGTTTCCTCATCTGTAAAATGAGCTGGAAAAGGAAATGGCAAACCACTTCAGTATCTTTGCCAAGAAAACCTTGAGGTTCACAAAGAGTCAACTGAACAGCAACAATAGCTATTTACAAACATACAACTAGCCTTTATTAGTTGCTTAAGACATATATTTATATTTGAAAGACAAATAGCTCCAGTTGAAGAAATAAAAGGCATTCATCTCACTGACCCAAACCACAATCTAATCAAGAGGTCTTAAAATCCTCATCTGCATATTTCCTTATCATCTGTCAGAAATGAACTGACCAGTCAATCTCTCCCTAGCTAAAGTTCCAACTGAAGGAAAGGTTTTGAATGCCATTAGGCTCCTTTTCTGTGGCAAAGCACCTGGTGCTGATTCTATTCCAGCTGAGATTTACAAGGTAGGGGCTCCATCGCTCATATGAAAGCTGACTAAAATTTTCTGGGTTATATGGCAAGTGGAGGTTATCCCCCAGGAGTTCAAGGATGCCTCCATTGTCCATCTCTATAAAGGTAAAGAAAATAGATTGTCCTGTGACAATCACAGGAGGGTCTCTCTCTTGGTCATTGCTGGCAAGAATCTTTCCAGAGTCCTCCTTAATAGGCTGATCTTTACCTGGAAGTTGGTCATGTACCTGAGAGCCAGTGTGGCTTCAGAAAGGGCTGAGAAATGGTCAATATGGTGTTTGCAGCCTGACAACTCCAGGAGAAATGCCAGGAGCAGAACAGAGGTGTGTATACAATGTTTGTAGGTCTGACCAAGCCCTTGTGAGGGCTTATGGAAAATTACGTCAAAATCTGGTTGCCCAGGGAAGTACACGAAATTGTACGTCAATTTCATGATAGCATGTTTGCCTGGGTTCTGGATAATGGACAGTACTCTTGTGCTTTACCAGTCACCAATGGAGTGAAAGCAAGGTTGTGTGCTTGCTCTCATGCTTTTTAGTGTGATGTCTTCAGTCGTGTTGTCAAATGCTTTCAATGAGGAAGAACATGGCATCAAGGTCAGTTACTGCACTGATGGTAAATTCTTCAACTTGAAAAGGTTACAAGCTAAGGCCAAAGTGGAGGGAATGTTGGTGCATGATTTTCTGTTTGCAAAAGATTGTGCATTCAATGAAGCCTCTGAAGCTGAGATGCAACAACATATGGTTATCAGTTCTCTGCTGCTTGTGCTAATTTTGGCCTAAATTAACACAGGTTAAGAAAGAAAACACAGGTATTCCATCAGCTACCACTACACCATCCATAGGTAGAACCACTTGTTACAGCAAATGGAGAAATTTTGAATGCTGTGGATAAGTTTACTTACCTCGGTAGTGTACTTTCCAGGGATGCCAGAGCTAGCTCAGTGTTTGGGAAGCTCTGAAGAAAAGTTGTAGGTGAGAAGAGGTATTAGACTGACTATGAAACTGAAGGTCTACAGAGCTGTTGTTCTGACCTTATTGTTGTATGTCTGTGAAACCTGTACAGCATACCAGTGCCATGCCAAGAAACTGAATTGCTTCCATTTGAATTGTCTTAGGAAGATTCTGAAGATCACCTGGCAGGATAAGATACCAGACACTGAGGTACTTTCTCAAATTAAACTGCCAAGCATTCAAACTATGCTTCAGAGAGTGAAGCTCTGATGGTCTGGCCATGTTGTTCACATGCAAAATGTTCTCTTGCTGAAAAGACTATTTTATAGAGAACTCACACAGGGCAAGCATTCACATGAAGGTCAGAAGAAACGATACAAGTGCTCTCTCAAGGTCTCTCTTAAGAACTTTGAAATTGATTATGTGACATGGGAGACACTGGCACAGGACTGCTCAGCATGGGGTTCCCACATCAGAGAAAGTGGTGTCCTCTATGAGCAAAGCAGAATTGAAACAGCTTAAAGGAAATACAGGATTTGAAAATTTAGAGAAACCACCCTAAATGTTCATACTGACTGTGCTCAGTCTGTGGTAGAGCATTCCAAACTCATGTTGGTCTGATCTGCCACAGTCTTTTATCAGGTTATAGCAATGAAGGGCATGGGCAAGGAGCTAGAAGAGAAGCTAATTTTTGGAAAAACAAAAACAATCAGAAAATCAAAACTCAGGGCATAAGTTTATACTATCAAACAGATAGCAAATCAAATTAATAACTGCTAACCTCCATGTGATCCTATCATAATTGTCAGATAGATCATATAAGACTTTCAGAGAAATTAGCATGAGTTGGAGTGGTCAAGGAAGGCTTGAAGTAAAAAATAGGACTTAAGTGGGGTCTTTATGGATGAGTGAGATTTGGAGAGAAGGAAATAAGAAGGGAGGACAATCCAGGTATAAGCAAACATACAATTCATGGGTAATTGTAATTTCCAGGAGCCCACTCCTTGTTACTTAGGGAGTAGAAGGATAAAAGTTTTCCAGTCAGACTGCATTATCCCAGTTTATACACTTACCATCTACCTTCCCTGTTACTGCAGAGGGCTGTATCATCCTCCCAATCTCTCAGATTCACAACCTAGGAGTCACTTTGAATTCCTCACATCTCTCACCTCCCATATCCAATTCATTGCCAACACCTGTTGATTTCACTTTTGCAAAACATTTTTAATATACCCTCTCTTCTCCTTTGACTACACCACCACCCTAGTGAAAAGCTTCATCATCTTAGCCTGGAATATGTACATATATATATATATATATATACACACACACACACACATACACACACACACTACTGGGGGTCTGCTTGCTTTAAGTCTCTCCCTACTCTAATCCATTCTCCATTCTTCAATTTAAGTGATTTTCCTAACACTCTGGTCTGATCATATCACACTTTCACACCTCTGCCACTTCCCCACCCCCCATATGTGCTTAATTAAAAAACTCTTATGGTTCCCTATCATCTCCAGAATCAAATACAAAATCCTCTATTTGACATTTAAGGCACTTTGAAACCTGATCCCCCCACTTTTTCAGTCTTCTTACATCTTGCACCCCAACTATGTACTCCTTTATCCAGTGACACTGGCCTTGCTGTTCCATGAACAAGTCAACTCTGTCTCTCAGCTCCAGGC